CTAAAACTATTGGTTACCACAACGGTAATTAAAAATACCAGAATAAAATATAATTTTCATATTTTTTTAATTCCAAGGGCGTTGGTTAGAAATGCGTGGATGTTCTCCATTCAATCCTCTTAATACCCAAAGTTGTATAACTATAGAAAGACAATCAGAACTTTCCCAACTTGGCGATACACAAATTCCACAGGTATAAATAAACAAAAGTTTATTAAAAAAGTGGTTTAAATATATTTTTAATGACTGAAAAATGGAATTTTGAAGGGTCATTATTAAGAAAAAAATATGGGGGTTACAGAAGGGAGAACACTTTTTCCAAAAAAAAATGAGAGATACACATAATCAGACCTGCTCACGGATATGGATACAGATATCAAGATGCCTGCGGATATCCGCTTGTATCCGCCGTAAATATCCGGATATCAAAATCACTATCCTGAGCAGGTCTGGATATAACTATAATTTTATTATTTTCAGCATTTAAGTGTTGAACAATGTTTTTGTTCAGGACAGCGTTGTAATGCCGCAGTTTCAATTAAATTTAAGAAAGGAATAATTATCTACATTCTTTCAAGCATTTTTGCTCTGATTTTAGTATTAAGCATTTAATGAAGAATATTTCTAAGAAAATCTTCATTCTTCGAAGAATTAAAAAATTGAAATCTTTAATAATATTTTAATTTTAAAGAATAAAATTTTTGTTTTTAACTTAAAATAATATTTAAATTTTATATAAACGGAATGATGTTTTAGGTGCTGAGAATGCGACATTTGAGAATACGTTCAAAGATTAGAAAAACAAATATATATTTAGGGTCCGGGCCGAAAGATCGAGTCAGGCATAGAATTTTTACCCGAAAAAGACTCGGTCGGACAGATCCGATAAAAATTAGGCCGAAAAAATGACTCGAACGTCGGCCCGACTCGAAAACCCCAATCCTAGCTTTAAAGTTTTAAAGTTGCAACTTAAAATGTTATTCCCATAAGGCGGATATTCTGACCTATGTCAAGCTAGTTTCTGTTGAGGCTTAACATTCCTGTGTCGAGTCTCACTGTTGGAACTCAAAGTTCCTGTGCCAAGGGCTTTGTGTAATTAAATTATATATTTATCATAAAAGTTAATCTCAATATTTTATTATTAAGAAATATCTCTCAATAAGCTACATAGTAAGGGACTTAGTCTCTTAATAAGTGCAGATTAAGAAATTATCGACAAGTGCCTTAGACAAGGTCCATCGCGGAGATATTTCTTAATAATGTTTAAAAATAATTTTGTTCATTTTACATTTTCCTTTATTAGTTGCCAGTTGTTAAAAAGTCTGAGTAAAAAGTCTGAAAGCCTGGATTGTATTTATTTTCCATAATTCTTTATATCCATTTCTTGATTTTAGCGGTATCCTTTTAGATATTGAATAAATATTTTGAAACTAAATTTTATAAATGTTTATTCCCCTATTAATAATTTTATCATTTTTTTCAAATTCTTATGGTACTTTTGAAAGCGAATCAAGGCGAATCATGAAATTTCTAGGCCAGTTTTTTCTTTAATTTTCTTTAATTCATTCAATTTAATTTTTAGACGAAGTATCGTCTTCTGAAACAAAAAGTTTAACTCAGAAGAAAAATAATATGTTTGACAAACACAGGCAGAATTTTGTAAATAAAAAATATTTGCCGTTATATAAAAACGAAATATGGTCTCCAACAGAAAATGATTTTAAAGAGTATATAATTTAAATATAAAATAAAGTAAAGCAGGTGGGCTATAGCTACTATGTATTTCTCTCCTTTATGCTACGCTTACATAAAAAACGCAAGACGCCGGCGGAAGACGCTCGGCGTCAAGACGCCGGCGGAAGACGCTGTTTTGTGCTTACATAAAATCGGCGTCTTCCGCTAAGCGGGAAGACGCAAAGCGTCAAAACGCTAGTTTTATGTAAGCACAAAACAGCGTCTTCCGCCGGCGTCTTGACGCCGAGCGTCTTCCGCAAAAAGCTGCGTTTTTTATGTAAGCACTAATTGCGGACTAAATTTATAACAAATATTTTATTGAAATTAAATTAAACAAATAAAATTAAATCATTTTATCCTGCCATGATACCGATCCAACTTCACTGTTAAAATATTCTAATTAGAGGTCGGCGCGGAACGGGATCCCGACGGGATTTTCCGGGATCCCAGATTTTTGTGATTGTCGGGATCATTCGGGATCCGGGATTTTTTCGGGATTTATCCCTCGGGATTTATCCCTAACATATTTTTTGAAATATCCCCAGATTTTTGAAATATCCCCAGATTTTTGAAGTATCCCCAGATTTAAAAGGATATCCCCAGATATCTTTTTAATCTCTTAATCCCTTCAAACCCTTTGATATCCCGATATCTATTACGTAAAAATTTTTTATGTGAAAATCCCGAAATCCCAAGGGATTTTGCTAAATTTTAGAAAAGGATTACGCGATTAATCCCGCGGGATCCTGTCCGTAAACAATTTTGAAGAAAATCTGGAACTAGAACTAACTTGGAACAAGTTCCCGGGCCCGAATATAGGTCCTATAAAATCGAAAAACCATAGGGGGGACTCCCAAGGGAGCAAACAGTACGAGCAAACAGTACGAGCAAATTTGAAATTTCGAAGCCTCGATTTTCCCCAAAATTTTTTGTCCCTAACTATATGGGACGAGCCCTACTCATCAAGAAATGGTCACTTTTTCATGTTTTTGGTAACATTTGATAGAGAATCAAAAGCTAGCTCTACAACATATCAAAAAATCAGAATTTTTGCACGATTGATAAAAAAGTTATGAGATAAATACTCGATAGCATACTAAATATCTCAAAAATATCGAAAAAAGCAATCCCGGAGAATCGTGGTCCCTGCGAAAAAAAGTTTAAAAATAAGAAAAAGGGTTTTTCTAGGGTAAAAAAATATGCTGAGTACGAATCTGAACTCAAATTTTGAAAAAGTCGGATCCCGAACCCGAATATTGCCGAAAAAAAATAATATTTTTTGCAAAAAGTATACCTTTTTCAAAATCAATTTTAACCCATAAAATTTAACTTTAAAAATATAAAATTTATATTGATCGATAGAGAATGAATTGAATTTTCAAAATCTTTTTAAATTTTGAAAATCGGATTAGAATTGGCCGAGAAATGATCAAGACGCTAAAAGTTGCCGCAAAAAATTCAAACATGTTTGAATTAAAAAAAGAGACGCCGGCGTCAAGACGCCGGCGGAAGACGCAGTTTATGTAAGCACTCAAAAAAAGCGTCAAGACGCCGGCGTCAAGACGCCGGCGGAAGACGCGAGTTATGTAAGCACGCAAAAAAAGCGTCAAGACGCCGGCGTCTTGACGCCGGCGGAAGACGCAGTTTATGTAAGCACTCAAAAAAAGCGTCAAGACGCCGGCGTCTTTTACTCTCCTCATTTCCCATTATCTTTTCTGCCGCAAGACGCGCGCGTTTTTTATGTAAGCGTAGCATTAGCTAGTTCAAAAGATTAATCGGCGGCTGGGTGCGAACCAGCATCTTCGGTAGACCGGACTGATCCATTACATCACGCCGCCTACTGCACAGCCTTATGCTACGCTTACATAAAAAACGCGCGCGTCTTGCGGCAGAAAAGATAATGGGAAATGAGGAGAGTAAAAGACGCCGGCGTCTTGACGCTTTTTTTGAGTGCTTACATAAACTGCGTCTTCCGCCGGCGTCAAGACGCCGGCGTCTTGACGCTTTTTTTGCGTGCTTACATAACTCGCGTCTTCCGCCGGCGTCTTGACGCCGGCGTCTTGACGCTTTTTTTGAGTGCTTACATAAACTGCGTCTTCCGCCGGCGTCTTGACGCCGGCGTCTCTTTTTTTAATTCAAACATGTTTGAATTTTTTGCGGCAACTTTTAGCGTCTTGATCATTTCTCGGCCAATTCTAATCCGATTTTCAAAATTTAAAAAGATTTTGAAAATTCAATTCATTCTCTATCGATCAATATAAATTTTATATTTTTAAAGTTAAATTTTATGGGTTAAAATTGATTTTGAAAAAGGTATACTTTTTGCAAAAAATATTATTTTTTTTCGGCAATATTCGGGTTCGGGATCCGACTTTTTCAAAATTTGAGTTCAGATTCGTACTCAGCATATTTTTTTACTCTAGAAAAACCCTTTTTCTTATTTTTAAACTTTTTTTCGCAGGGACCACGATTCTCCGGGATTGCTTTTTTCGATATTTTTGAGATATTTAGTATGCTATCGAGTATTTATCTCATAACTTTTTTATCAATCGTGCAAAAATTCTGATTTTTTGATATGTTGTAGAGCTAGCTTTTGATTCTCTATCAAATGTTACCAAAAACATGAAAAAGTGACCATTTCTTGATGAGTAGGGCTCGTCCCATATAGTTAGGGACAAAAAATTTTGGGGAAAATCGAGGCTTCGAAATTTCAAATTTGCTCGTACTGTTTGCTCGTACTGTTTGCTCCCTTGGGAGTCCCCCCTATGGTTTTTCGATTTTATAGGACCTATATTCGGGCCCGGGAACTTGTTCCAAGTTAGTTCTAGTGGATCGGTATCATGGCAGGATCGGTATCATGGCAGGATAAAATGATTTAATTTTATTTGTTTAATTTAATTTCAATAAAATATTTGTTATAAATTTAGTCCGCAATTAGTGCTTACATAAAAAACGCAGCTTTTTGCGGAAGACGCTCGGCGTCAAGACGCCGGCGGAAGACGCTGTTTTGTGCTTACATAAAACTAGCGTTTTGACGCTTTGCGTCTTCCCGCTTAGCGGAAGACGCCGATTTTATGTAAGCACAAAACAGCGTCTTCCGCCGGCGTCTTGACGCCGAGCGTCTTCCGCCGGCGTCTTGCGTTTTTTATGTAAGCGTAGCATTAGGAAATAAAAAAAATATGCTTTACAGTAATAAAATTAAAATAGGTGCCAAAAAGGAGAACAAGAATACAAAATTGGCGAATTTGTCGAAGTAAAGAATACATATGAGCAATTTTACAGGCAACACAGAATGGTTATTAGCAAAAATTGTAAAAATTGAAAATGAAAAGTATAAAGTTGAACTGAAAAATAATTCGCTTTCTGGCGTAATATTTACCCGATGTTCAGAAGATATACGGAAATTTAATGTTGACTTTCAAATTAACGAAATAGTTGAAATTTGGAATTATAATGAATGGGTTTTAGGAAGAATATTAGGAAAAGAACGGGAGGAGTATATCGTTCGTATTGAAAGTGGAGAATTTTATGGGGAAATATTTAAGAGTTATCCAAATAATTTAAAAAAGCATGGGGAAGTGGAACATTATGAAATTGATGAAATTGTTGAGGTAATGAACAATGACAAAATAACAGGAGAAACTAATTGGATTAAAGCAAAAATATTAGAAATTAAGAGAGGAAATAATTATGTTGTAGAGATTGTAGAGAAATGTAAATTGAAGGGAGCTGAATTTAATAGAAATATTTCTAATATAAGAAAATTTAAAAGTGAAAATAATTTTCAAGTTGGTGAAGAAGTTGAAGTTTATTTTTATGATAAAATTGAAGACAAGACGGAATGGGTGAAAGCTAAAATATTAGAAATTATAAATGGAATTTATATGTTGAAGAATGAAACACATACTATACTGAAAGAATATTATTCTTTTAATTTAAGAAAGATTAATTCTAAATAGAAAAAAGTGAAGTATCTTTTAATATGTGAACAAAATTATAAAAGAAAATTTTAAAAGATTTACATAAATTGTATTATATGTATAAACCCAGATCCATCCCCTCAATCCTTCGATATCTCTCAAATCCGTCTATATCCTCCGTAATCGTCTTAATCCTTCCAAGACATTGGGAAAAATTATTTTATCTCTCATATGCATTTTTATTCATTATTATTGATGTTGTTTAATCAACTGTAAATAGAGTGCTTCAACTACAAAACGAAATAATTTATTGTTTCGGGCTAAATCCTCGAAAACCCGGTTTTTTAGACACAACAGTTTTCTTGCGTTATTTACACACACATACCCACTTCCAACTTTCTTGGTTGGAAGTAAGTTAATAATTTTTTATTTTGTAAACAATTTCTACAGTAGTTTTATATTTACAAATGTTTCGAAATTAAAAAATGATATGGAAGATTTTCGGTTCAAGATATACAGGGCCCATTAAAGAAAGGCAAAATGAAAAAAATATCTGATCAAATAGAATCAAAAAATATTAAATATTTGATTTTCCTAAGTCAGATTACTTGTTTTTACGAGTTCCCAAGTATGTGTCCCAGCGATGTGGAAAAATACTAAAAAGATACTGGAAATAAGCTAGATAATTTGTTATTCGGTTCTTAAAAGATCTTTAGATTTTCAGAAGTAAACCTAAAATTTTTGTAAATCTTGAACCAAATAACTAAGCCAAAGAATCCTCGATTATTCTATCAAAAATCGAAGAATATATCACCAAACTTGGCATCTCTTTTTTGGATTCATTGGTGTACCAGATTGACATTTAAAATGATTGGAGAATTGTGGCATGTTGGCAAGAACAACATTAACCCTAAATTATATTTTATTTTTAAAAATTATGCTTAAAATTTCTTTAAAACATTCCATTTCCTTCCACACTACTTAATTACATAGTTTAATGCCGTTCTCAAAATAACGTAAGGTTCAATTTAGTTTATGTTTTTTATCCTCCTCAGACTATCTGCGTGATCCTCTCACAGAAGCTCCAAATGATAAATTAATGCCCTTTTCACACTATTTTTCCTTAACACTAATCTTTGTCAATTAACTATACCTTGCTTCAGGAGGAGAATGTACATCATAAACAGCTCCAAAAATGGCAGCTTCAGGGCGTTGGTTTGTACACCAACTCTTAAAAAATTAAATAATTTTTTTCCTAAATCTTACACCCACAAAGGCGTAGTTTATGAAGAACAATTGCTCAGCGCTAAACTCCTCTAATCCTTTCAGTTTTTGTTGAGAGGCTATAGAATTCTTTTCCAATGCTATTTCCATTGCATTATATGCAGCTCTAAATTTTTTAAAAAAATTTATAAAAAAATCTTTCAATTAGAATTGACCTCATCCCTCCATTATCTGCTATATTTTCACCTTGAGTCATTTTTCCATTAATCTTTAAAAACAAAAATGGTATATAAGATACCTAAGGTCCCTAGGCTAAGTCTATTTTATGACTAAAATTAATAAAAATTTTTGGCTTATAATTAAGCATGACAGGATCCGAACTGATTTAAATCTGAAATTAACTCTGAAATTATGAAAAAACCCGGATTTGGGAAAAGAATTCTAGTAAAGTCTGTCTGGTTAGCCCCCGTCGTTATACATCCATTTTGTTAAGTAGGGATCTTTTGGCTAGTATGAAACGACGGTTTTTCAAAAAAATTCAAATTAAAAAAAGATCGACAGACATGTAATCCATCCAATCCATTTACTGTAATAGCATCATATTGTTCAACAAAACATTGTTTTTGTTTTTGAAATGCTGCAGCAGTTTCCTTCTTCCACCAATTCCTAACATTTCCAAATTCATCGTGTAGTCTTCCGTTATTATCGAACCCGTGTGTTATTTCGTGTGCCAATACTACACCGATTGACCCGTAATTCATTGAGCTAAAATGGTTTAATAAATATGTAGATGAACGAGAGTAATTTGGATTTTAAAATATTATTCGTTATGTCGGTATGGTTGTCAGTTCTTGTATAATCTTTGAATATTTATTATACTATCGGTTCAATTAAGGCTAGGTTATTTAGGGTTGGAATTTTTTATTCGTCAGTTCAATTTCAAATCGACATCCCTATACAACATCGATGTTTCATCTAATGATATAATGAGATTTTCCAAATTTTTAAATATTTCTCAAAATTTATACATTGGACGAGTAGTCGAATTGAAGAAAACACCTTGTAAAATACCTCCAGTCAAAACTTTTAAATTAAAAAATTTTTTAAATAATTTTTTCAATTATTTACCTATAACATTCTTAATTGGATAATAAAATCCGTTAATACCCAAACTGCTAAATTCAACTTCAACAGGATCTAATAATTGAAGCATTGACTTTTGATTCATCAAAATATTTAGAGAATCCATTGCTTCGGCAAATGGTTGGCCGGGAATGACGGTAAACTTGAAAGAATTATTTTAAAATTTTTTAGGAGATTTTGGGAAAGTTTGATGAGAGAAGTAGAATACATATTTTAATTTTTCAAAAATTTTCGAAAGCAAAAAAATTTTCAAAAAAAATCAAAAATTTCATGAATTTTTCGAAAAATAATTGAAATATTTTGTTAAAATATTTTTGAAATATTTAAAAAAGATTATCTAAAAATTTCTTAAAAAAGTATAAATTATTTTCATAATAAAATTTAATTTTGCACCTCAGAATACAATTTTTCAAGCTTTGTTTCATTAAATATGCTGTCCATATACCCTATAAGCACTCTCAATTTTTGCAACTTTAAATTAAAAATTTATTTAAATATCATTATTTTGATATTTTCAAAACCTTTTCAAAAGCCGCTATTTTTGTTTGTTCGTCCATCCACTAATTTAAAAAATCTTTAGTATAAATTTAAAATAAACAAGTTTTTTTCAAACCCCATTATGATCAAGCATTGAATGAAACTCTTTTTTTACGTTTAGAAACATTTCTTCAATTTGTATCTTTGTGGCATTTACGTTCATATACCTTTGGATATAAACTAAAAATTGAAAAATTAAATAAATCGGATAAAACTATCATTTTTAGAGACTTCAAATCCTTGAGAGACTTAAAAACTTCATAAGACGTGAGGGCCCAAATTAGTCTCTCAATTACAAAAGAGACTAAGTTATAAACGCTTATTCATCTTACCACAGACTGACGGGAGGCATTCGAAATCCTCATAAGCTTCAAAAGAGCTTATGAGTTCCAAAAATTATTTTTAAAAATAATACTCATCGACCTATCAAAAAAATAACTTATTTATAACAACAATATATTACAATTTGCTCCAATCCTGATAAGTATTAGACTTAATTAAAGCAACCAAACTACTTACCCCTCTCAATAAGTGCCGGGAACACATTAATCAACACATTTTTGCATTCCTTCCAATGGGCAGGCCTCTCTACTGAGCCTTGTAGCACTCTGTCTAACTCCTAATTAAATTTAAAAAATGGTTCTTAAAGTCTTCATTTTTACAACATACAAATCCAACATCTAAAAATCTGTCATCTAAATAAGTTACTTCACTAAGAATTAATTTCCAGTCCATATAATCACTTAATACTTGACCAGACAAGTTTTGAGCTAATCTATCGAATTTCTGAAATTTATTGTTAAATTGGTAAAAAGTTTAGTAAATTTAGTACACATTATTTTAGAAATTACTTTAGAAATGAATTAAACATCCTTTCTATCTTTTAAGTTCAAGTCTGTATAATAAGATTTCCTGGCATTGTTTTCAAGAAAGTTACCCAAAGTAGAGTTTGATACAAAGGGAGGCCAGAAACGTTGGTTGGCGTTGGCCAGAAAAAATTTCCGTTGGCCCAGAAACTTGGTATTGATAAAATCAGGTTTCGTGGGTTTCATTCCGGAGTAAATTATCAAGTTCAGTTTTAAAGAAAAACCCCTGGGCCTCATCAGGGAAAATAATCATAAAAAATAATTTCACCTTAATTAGAGTAACTTCAGAAATTCTAGCCTCAACATTAGCCACCCCATCAGGATATTTTTGTAGCAAAACTTGTTGGGGTAAAATATTTTGAAGATATCTAACCCAATTAATAGACCCTGCCAAATTATTTTGAAATTTTTGTATGCTTAAATATTCATCATCAGCATAAGCATTATCCTGAAAAATAAGTGGAAATAAATTCAGAACTCATTTTAGACTTGAGGCGTGACATTATATTTTTAATCGGGTGTAGTATGTTTAATAGTACTTCGCGTAAGCAAATCCCATATTCGAAGCCAATAATTAAGGTTATCTAGTATTTATGGGTACATAGCCCATAGATTAAAGGAAATCCAAGTCTTGATCGAGACTTGATCAAAATCCTGGATAATTTTGTCAGATATACTCCAATCTCTATTGACTGCTTAATTCATTCATTGAATATTTTAGCCTTAATACATAAGTAGACCCCACCCCCTCCAAAAAGCAATAAATTTTTTACGTCGGCAAGATCCTTGCTATTAATTAGGGCTCTTGTCCAGTTCATGCGTCCCATGAAGATTTATGCGTCCCAAGAGAATTTATGAGTCCCATAAAAATTTATGCGTCCCAAAAATAACTTATGAGTCCAATAAAAATTTATGCGTCCCAAAAATAATTTGTGCGTGCCATAAAAATTTGTGCGTCCCATGAAATGAAAAAATATTGCAAAATTAAAAAAAAAACATTTAAAAAATGTGTTTGTTATGCTTGATTGCTGAAGGGCCAACGAGTCAATTTTTTGGGCCAATGTTATGTTAAGTCAATGTTAAGTTATAGAACTCGTCGAGCTGTGTCTAATGACACCAAAATCGAAAAAAATCCGACTTGATTTGACCGAAATACAGACCCCTGAAAATTTAAAAATCACACAAATTTGTACAAATGATAGCTCATTCGAAAGAACTCGTCAAGCTGAGTCGAATGACACCAAAACAACTTGATTGGACAAGATTTGACAAAGATATGACATTAAGTAGACCTATCAGAGTCGGCGACTTAAGTCAAAATTCTGTCAAATTTTGTAATTTTTGAATATTTTTTCAATTCATTTCATGGGACGCATAAATTATTTTTGGGACTCATAAATTTTCATGGGACGCATAAATTTTTATGGGACTCATAAATCTTCATGGGACGCATAAATTTTTATGGGACTCATAAATTTTCATGGGACGCATGA